TATTAATTATAAAGTTGAACTTGCAATAAATGTGTAATATGAAATTTACAAGCTTGTGTTTACTGTTTTCAATAAATAGAAGTAGAAGATCGCTATATTAATTTAAAAATCCCCCTTTTTTGGCATTGTCCAGTTAATGTATGCAACGTTAAAGTGGAGTAAAAGAAGGAAGAATATAAGAAAAGGACCCCACACATTCCCGGTACACATTTTAATCTCAGGGGAGGGGGTTATATTTCGACAAATTTCCAATTTCGTCAAAACACTGCATCAAATTTAGTTAATACCCTATTAATTAACTAAAGACTTTAATATTCATAGGTTGTATATAAAAGGAAAACATGAAGATGGGTAAGAGTTATAAGGTTTTTTTGATGTGCAAGGAAAAAAAACTGGATTTGAGCAGCCGTGGCGCAGAGTTCTGGCTCAGAAACCAGTGGTCAGAGGTTCGATGCCAGCTCTAGCCCAACAACGACATTGTATGGAAGGAGGCATGAACTTCCTGTCAAATGCTCTCCCGCGGTGCTCTATGATAAGACCGTAAGGACTTCTGGGAGCACCTAAATAGATACAAAAAAAAAAAAAAAAAGTAAATTTTTATAGGATGAAGAAACAGATGCAGTAAAAGCATGCAACTTGTTGAATAAGAAACCAAGCTAGAATGAGTTTTGGTTTATCATAATAAAGATAGTAGCTCATTTGAGCATTGACCATGATAGTATCTTTAGAAAGATGAAAGAAATGCAACCTTACAACAAGGGGAGAATGGACCAAGCTTGACAGATAAAGCAGGTCTAATTACATTTACAATGTGCTTGTGCAAACCCTCTTACTCTCAGACAAAGTCTGAGAGTATGAGGTACCTTGCTTGGTACCTCTTGCTTATGACGCGAGTACTCTAGCACAACACCACAACCACATTACATTTACAACATGTTTTTAGATTTTGTCTGAGAGTAAGATGGTTTTTATTCATCAATATAGGAATGCCAACGATATTGCAATATTTTTTTGCAGTAAATAATTGAGTTTTGTTGTCTAACAAAAGTTGTGAATTTAAAGTCCAGACTTAAAATCCACAAGTCACTGCAAGCCTTAGGCTGTTACAGAAGAGAGATCAGATTAAAATATGGCTTCTTGTTCTAAGCAAAAAGTGAAGACTTTTTGTTAAGACAAGAGTATAAAGTTGAGTTGTCAACAAATAAAGCTACTTAAGATGGAAAATTTTCATGAAGATCATTATTGTAGATAAAAATCAATGCAGGACCAAGGATAGGTTCTTGTGGTACCTTTAAAGTTACTTGAAATAAGGAAGAGTGTAGGCCTTCAAGAATAACTTGCAGTTAGAAAAAAATAATTTGATAATTTCTAAACCTTTATATAAAGAAACTAATAACAGAGTGAAGACTAATTGTATAATAGTTAGAGAGGTCAAAGTGTTTTCTAGAGTTTTCAAAAATTGGAACCACTTATTTAGCATTTTTAATAGTTTTTAATAGCAAAAATTGAAGAAAGTTCTGGAAAACACTTTTTTAAGATTATGATGGAAATCTTGTCTAGAGCATAAACTGTAGAAGTAATTAATTGAGAATTAACTTTAGCATTGGAATCCAGGATGGTTTGGATTTTTAAAAATAAGTTAATCTGTTTAACTGGTTTATCGGGAAGAATATGGTCATTAGATTCAAGAGTCTAGTTAAAAAAAAAATTTATTCCAAATGTAAATGTAAAAATATTCTGCCCTATTGTAGGGAGAAGTAGAAAAATCAGACTCATGAAAAATTAGACCCTTGAAAAGATGGGCATTCATGCATACATATTATGGATATAAATATATATGTTTGCTATTTATAAACGTTTGTTAGAGAAGATTAAAGTGATCTAGGTATCAGCGTATGTAGAGAGGTAGCAGCTTTATGATTAAAGGTAAAGTTAGAAGTAATAAAACTTGAAGAGAGTGCCTTACATATTATATGAATGAGCTTTAGTAAAGGAAAGAAAATGCTCTAGATTGTTTTTATTAGAGAAACAGCATAAATAAGAAACACTAAAGCCTGATAATGATTATGATGATAATCATCATGATGATTATGTTGATCACAATGAGTTTATATATACAAAAAATAACATGAATTTTGAATAAAAAAAATAATACTTAAGGATGCCCCAGTCACAAACCTGGTCCTGGTCAAATTTCAACCCCGGTTACTTTCTAATCAATCCATCTTGCTATAGTAGAATAAAAAACTCAGCAATGTATCCAGGCTGATTTTGATACCGGTATACCGGTATGGGCCCCCAAATTTCATCCCAAACTCAATTTAAAACAATTTTATATTAGCACCCATAAAAATAATATAAAATAATTTTTTATTACTTATTGTCTTGCTGTTTTGTGAGAAAATTTGTAATTATAATTCACGGCTGTTTCACTCAATATAAAAGCGAGCTTGGCGTCACAGTTATTTTTGTGTTTATCAAATAAAAAAGTATTTCCGCAAAAAAAGTTTAAAAAAGCACTAACTTTAAAATAATAGTGTTTTTTTCCTATTAGCGCTTTCATCTTCAAATAAAAAAAGTATAAAAGACCCATCTTTTTTTAAAAAATAAATATTTACATTCAACGGAATAAAAATATTATTGTTTAAATATTGCTAATGATTTGGGATTACTTTTCTGTTTTTTGTGGTTTTTACGGAAAAACTGTCTTGGGTCAACTAAGATTTCATAACATAGCTACATGCCTCATGGTTAAAATTTGGAACATTTATAAATAAATGTCTATTCTATCTAATTTTGGGTGCGGAATGCTTATTTTTTATTTTTTAACTATTTTTTAATGCATTTATATTTTTTATTTTATTATTATATAATGAAAATCATATTATTTTTGTAATCCGTACCAAATTATTGAAATTTCAACACTTTCGGCATATAAAAATCAAAAAATTGTTTGCTGTACCTCTAGCTTTGTTATGAAATATGTTTTCAAACTTGGCTAGTTTAGAAACAAATTTTTCTAGTTTAATGCGCAAAACATTGTTTACATTTCAAAACAATCACGTGACCTTAAATTCTGTACGTCTCAAGTAAATATGTAATAAATTTTATGAAAACAACTTTCTCAGCAAGACAAATTTTGAAGTATAAAATAAACAAAATTAGGCGCTTTTTTCTTTAGAATGGTGCATAAACCTATTATCAACTGGGTGTTTATACTATTTGTATATTTAAGGAAACGTTTATTTTTTGTAAAAAAAGATTGATTCAAGTGCCGTAAAATAATTCTATTACCAAAAGCGAGGTTAATTCAGCAACTTTAACTCAGTTTTGGTCATGAATTATTTTATTAGAGTCTTTATTTATTAACAACCTAACACCATATTATTAAAACTGTATGCATAGAAAAGAATTGCTCAAGTTTTTAAAGGCTTTAGCTTAAAATGTTAAGACTAAATATTTCAAACTTGAAATCTGGTTTTATTTTATAATGCATTGAATTTATAAACTTAGTGAATTATTTTCTAAAACAAGAACTTCTAGATTTAAAAACATGCTCATTTAACAGCTAATCCCCCCTTTAACAACACTTTTCATAATTTTGCAAATAATGCGGTTTGCTTGCAGACTTTAATAAAGTCTGTATCAGTTTACCTTTAACAATTAAGTAAGTTTTTTTTATTTTAATAATAGTTAAACAATGAGTGTATTTGATAATAACTATCAGAAATATATTTTTCTGATTTTTTTTTTTGATAAAAAGTAACAACAAATTACTAAAATTTAACCAAGTTCATCATTTGTTGCGTTTTTTATAAACTAAAAGAAGTTTTTTTACTATTGTATTAAATGTCGTATGATAAAACATTTTATAGTTGTTTTTATTCCTTTTACAAAACAAAATTATCTCAAATAAATATCTCTAATATTTCAAAAGTTATAAATGTTTTAGTAACACCCCCTAAGTCAAAAATTTCAAAAAAAAAAAGCCGTAAAGCTCACTCTGAAACAGCCGTGAATTATGATAATAAATTTGTTATGTTGTTAATGTCCATTAGAAAAACCAACATTCAAAAAACGACTTTTAAAACACATTTTAAATGTATTTTAAGTCAATCAAAATGCTTTATTTTAATTCACGTTGATGAAATATGGAATATGTTACAACTGGATTAAAATGTAAAACGCATGTTTTGATTGGATTTAAATATGAAACACTCAGCATTTTTTAATTACAAATTTAACGTTTAAAAAATACACTAATTTGAGTTTCTCCTCCGCTTCTGTTTACTAAATACAATTTTCAAAGCAATTAAATTATATGAGCTTTAAACTTTTTCATTTCAAATAACAGTAAAATTGTATTAAAAATATTTTAAATAATAAAACAAAATAAAGTTTTTAAAACATAATAACATTATAATAATCGCGCCAAAAAACTTGATTTGAAAAGTAAGAGTAGAACAAGAAAAAAAAGTTAGTAATTTTTGAATGAATTAATTAAAATGTTTTTAAAAACATTATTTTGGTTAATTGTTTACATTTTTATTAGGAAAAACTTAAAATACTAGAGCGAGCTATATAACAATAAATAATTATATTTAAATTTGTATTTAAATTTTAAAAAAAACCTCATTAGGTAGACAGGATTTTTAAACCGGTATGCGCCAAAAATTTCTGGATACGTCACTGTAACTGAAATAGTTTTTTGTTCAAAAAGTCTTTGTTTAATTTCATTAAGAGTTATTCCAGAATTATCATCAATCCAATTTTAAATAAATACTATGGGTTCTTCAGTTAATTTTTTTTTCTGTAACCACCTTTTAACTGCCGTTTTAAAGGCAACCCGTTGTTATGTTTTTTAGCTAAGCCAGAACCCTAATAAGGGACTAATATTAAGAGATTTTTTTAAGCTTAAATTTTTTTATTTCCAATGTTTTCTATCATTTTTATTTTTTTTATGTTCATTTTTTGATAATATTATTTATCTTTTTTTTTAGGAATGTGAAAAATGTGAAAGGTAAGAATTAATTGCATTTTTTAAATCAGTTTAATACTGTATAAAATATTTGCATATAACATATAATTATATATTTCATTTAAACAATATTACAAGTATATATTTGCATATAACATATAAGTATATATTTCATTTTAAGTAATTCTAAAATTGTTATCTCTTATAAAATGGTTTACATTGTTTTAATTGTGTTACCTGCATAAGTTAATACAATAAAAATTTAAATTTAGTATATACATTTTTCTAAAATTGTTTCACATTTTTTTAAAATTGTTATCTGCATTGTTTAACCTCGATACAATGAAAATCATTGTGACTTTTAATCAGTGCCATTCTTACAAGGAATGGGGGGGGGGGTTCTAATTACTTATTCAATTACTTGGTCAATTTGATCTAATATTGATGGAGCACTTATGGTGAATTGAAGATGGAGACATATGCTAAGTGTTAACATTCAAAACGATGTCATTAACCTCATCGAATATTGTAGAAATTATTGTGAACAAGGTAAAGTTTGCAAAGTATTTTTCAGTTATTATGGGTTGCACTGTAGATCTTAGTCACAAAGACTAAACTTCTTTAACAATCTGCTATGTTCATGAAGAAGATGAAGCATGAAGATGGTTGGGTTTTCTTATCATTGCTATTAGCATTTTTATGAATATTTTGCTGATCTTGAAATCAATTGTTTTTCAATTTTGTATTTTTTACAGCATTGAGTGAAATGGTACAAAATAAATCTCTAAAATATGACTAAAAACATAATATATTATATGTAGTAAAAAACATAATATACATATTATATCTAGTAAAAATGAAGTCAGACTATCAGGTTAATAAAAAGAAAAAAAGAGTGACACAAGCTACTTTTTTTTATAAAAAAAGGTTATCAATATTTGAAAATTTCTGCAAGCCAAGCAACTATTTTTAACTGCACAATAATTTACTTTTTATAAAAGAGAATTTTTTGATTTATTATTTTTTAAATAATTTGTTATTTTTCAAAGAGTAGTTTTAATCTTTTAATAGTTTATTAACTTTCATCTAAATAAATTATAGAAATAACCAGTGTTTACCATTAATTAAAAAAGAGTTATAACATGTTTCTGTTTTTATTATACTTGATACAATTTTTCATTTAACTGAAATTCATTATTCAACTTGATTTTTCTGAAAAGTTTATTATCTTATAGGATAAATCTTGAATAAATACAATCAGAGAAAAATTTTTTTGTTGTATATGGTAATTACCTAATATACAAATGACTAATTTTTTTTAATTTTTAAATTTATTTTGTGTTTAAGGATTCAAAAAAATCGTGCATTTTGTTATTTTTGTAACTCCATACAAAAGTTGCCAGCATGTGCGCAATGTGGTCAGTATTTATTTTGAACTATTTTGTTAATATAATTAATTAGTTTTTATATATAATATACAAAATAAAACTTATGTAATAAATAGTAAAATTTTAGTTTAATGATTTATTAGTTTGTTTTACTTATTTGTTTTATTTTTTATTGCATAAAACATAGTGCACAGGGCACAGAGTGAGTGGAATTAAAAGTAAATAAAAAAAGGTTATACTCCAGAACACCATGTTGGACTTAACACCTATGGGCAGGTTAATTTAGTCCTGTGAAGTATTAAAAAAAAGTGCAAAATAAAAGTATCAATGTTTTTTCAGTAAAATAAATATTATGGTTTTCAAATTTTTTTAATAAAAATATTTTTAAAAAAATTTATAGTTCAAAAAAGTGACATCCCCTTTTTTATCCAAAAATAATAGTTTTAGTTAGTCTGATTAACTTAAGGATTTCTTCATTTAAATAAGTACTATTTTTTAAAGGTCAAAGTACATTATATTTCTGTTATATATATGTTAAGGTGTTTTAAATCCTCAGTAGATAAAAAATTGCAACTGAGTGAGATCTGAGATCCTCCAGACGAATAGATATAAAAAAAACTGTATCAAGTTTTTAAAAGATTTGTTTTTAGTTTTTTTTTTTTTTTTAAAAAACTAAAAATATTTTTCTAAGCCTTCATACATAAATATTTCTTATGACTTTACGAGGATTTTATGACTTTACGAGGATTTTAGAGAAACAAAAAGTAGATGCATCAGTTAAATTTTTTGTTGACATTTTACTTTTTATGATTTCAAAAGCAACCTTGGATACTATAAAAATATAATTTGTACTTCCTACACAAAAATATAATTTGCATAAAAAATTAAAAATTTATGTAAAATCACAAAAAATGTTTTTTTTTACCTGCTCAACTTAAATAGAAACTAATACAATTGCTAATGTAATGATATTAGTCACGGTACTAGTGAATTTGCAGTTACGAGGATAACCATTTATAAAAAATATACATTTAATAAATGTAAATTTTTGATAAATAAACAAAAGAAATGTCAAATAATAAAAAGTAGAACTCTATATGCCAAATTTAATTTTATATGCCAAAGTTTTTAAAAATCATTAAATGTACCATAGCTACTTTAACTCTTCATTAAATATATCATAGCTACTTTATCTCTTCATTAAGAACAAAGTGAAGAATAACATCAATTTTTAATGATTTTAATCTTTTTTTATATTATTTAAAAACTTTGGCATATAAAATTTGCCAAATGGTCACACGAGCAGTGATTGCCTGAGGGAAGAAATGAAGTACATTAGAATAAAGGAGAATTATTTATTAGACAAGGCATATTTTGACAGTTGTCAAGACAAAAATAAAGATTAATAGAGGAATATTTAAAAATAAATTAGACAGGCTATACACCCAAAACAGTACTCAACAATAATAACAAAAAAAAAATTGTTTTATAAACACCAATACGAACGAAGATATACAACAAATACATCACCAGACAAAAACTTATAAAACAAAAAACCGATCACAAAATATAAAATATGCTAACAACAATGAAAAGCCTAATAATGAAAAAAAATATTAATGCTAATGTGTAAACGTAATTAGTGTAGTGATTAAGTAATAAACATCTCCTCAAAGCCGCGTCTATTATTACTGGCATTTTGATGAGGATGAGTATTTATAACTAGTTTATCCCGTCAGACAAACGTCATCACCACTTATGCTTTACCCCGCAACTTTTCCATACTGCATTAAAAAGAATTCACTACAAATAGCCAAATCCCAACCAACCCCGATTTTGTAAAACACTAATATTTTTTTGATGATATGATATAAAAAGTGTAGGTTTACTAAACAAACAAAAATAAAAATAACTAAATAAAACACTTACCATTCCATCAAAAGAAAACATGAAAACAAAGTAAATTAAAATTCTAATAAAAACATTAAAAAAAAAATTCATAAATTTATATTAAGAAATAAAACCAAATTAATATTAGTATAAACAAGCCAAATTATTAGCATAAACAAGCATAATTATTAGCATAATTATTAGCATATGTTATTATAGCATATATATTATAGCATATATTATTACCAAATTATTAGCATAAACAAGCCTAAGATAATCAATCAAAAAGAAGTATACCTCATTAAAAAAAAATTTTTAATCAACAAAACAACAATAGCCTTAAATAAACTCTAACGCTGTCATAGATACCTCATTCGAAATATGATAACCAATCAAAAGTGTAGGAAAATAAGCAACCTGTGAAACCCAAAATAATAACAATAATTTAGTAATACATGATTGCGAAAAAGAACGTTGCACAAAAACATTAAAAATGTAAGCGGCATATATGTAAACATTTGATTTAAAGTAGGATATAAAAATATTCTCTGAATAATAATAAACATGAAAATAGTGCATGTGAAAATTAAAACAAAGCTGAGTAATGAATGCAAGATAATATAACATGAAAGTTTCTTGTAAACAGTAATAATATGAGAATCAGGAGATAAACAATACATATTGCAACAAAACCAGATAATTTTATGACAAATAAGTGGTTAAAATATTAGTTGTGGATAATATCACAATGATATAAGTTGTGATATAAAAAACATGTGATGTTCAAAGCGGGAAACTATATTGTTAAAAAGTGAAGTTTTCTCTACGATCCGAACTAAAAGAAACTTTGAGACCTTATCTAAATCGAAATTTCCGAAAAGTAAATGTTTCTCTACGGTCCGAATTAAAAAGTAACTTTGAGACCTTACCTAAATTGAAATTTCCGAAAAGTAAAGTTTTCTCTACGGTCCGAATTAAATATAATTTTGAGACCATAACAAAATAACAAGGAAAAACATACATCATCAAAACATGTCGAAATCCGCTAGTTTTTAAGAATTGCTCTTATATTTATATATTTATATATATACATATGAATCCTTAAATGAAAAACTCAATCACACATGATAAACACATATAGATAACACACAAATCTATATCAATATTTCAACCACACATTATCTATTAAAAGAAAATATTATTTAAATAAGGATGAGTTCCAACAAAGATAGTTTATCTATGAAAGAACAAAAAGCGTGCAAATGATGTAAACAGGCTGTATGTGCATAAGGGTGTATAGGTGTAATGTGTAAGTCTGTGCTGTTTATGTCGTTCAGTAGAGTCTTTTATTGTTAGTAACCAGCGTAAAAGATTTGTCTCTGAACTAAACCAAGCCAGCCCAGCCTTACTCCAGAAAACCATGATGGATTAAACACCTATGCATGGATTTATAACTGACTTATGACTAAAAAGCTAGCCCAGGCATCTTCCACAGACAAACATCCTCTTTCGCGGTGACAGTAACTGCGATTAGGAAAATAATCGTGCTCGATGACCATAACACTAACCATTATGGGCTAGGCCCAATATTATTTAAAAACTTTGGCATATAAAATTTGCTGAATGGTCACACAAGCAGTGAACGCCTGAGGGAAGAAATGAAGTACATTAGAATAAAAGTGAATTATTTATTAGACAAAGCATATTTTGACAGTTTTTTTTACCTATTTGGTTTTATATCTTAAAATGAATTTATTGATATTTTTATGTTTCTATTAGAATTTTAATTTATTGTGCTTTCATGTTTTCTTTCGGTGGTATGGTAAGTGATTTATTTAGTTATTTTTATTTATTTTTTACAGTTTATCTACACTTTTCATATCATATCATTAAAAAAGCATTAGTGTTTTACAAATTTGGGGTTGGTTGGGTTTTGGCTATTTGTAGTGAGTCCTTTTTTACTGCAGTATGGATAAGGCGTAAGTCGCGGGGCAAAGCACAAGTGGCGATGATGTTTGTCTGACAGGATAAACTAGTTATAAGTGCTGATCCTCATCGAAACGCCAGTAATAATAGACCCGACTCTGAGGAGATGTTTATTACTTTATCACTACATTAATTATATTTACACATTAGCATTAATGTTCTTTTTCCATTCTGAGGCCTTACATTGTTATATCCATATTTTTTGTTTTTGTTTTTTTATTTTTTGGTTTTTTAAATTTTTTGTTTATCAATTTTTTGGTTTTTTAATAATTTTTTATTTTGGTTATATATTTGTTGTATATCTTCGTTCGTATTAGTTTTTTATGAAACAATTTTTTGTTATTATTATTGTGAGTACTGCTTGGATGTGTTGTCTGTCTTATTTGTTTTGAAATTTTCCTCTATTAATCTTTATTTTTGTCTTGTCAAAATATGCTTCGTTCGATAAATAATTCTTCTTTATTCTAATGTACTTCATTTCTTCCCTCAAGTGTTCACTGCTCATGTGTGACCATTCGTCGAATTTTATATGCCAAAGTTTTTAGATAATAACATCAATTTTTAATGATTTTAATCTTTTTTTAAATTTTTCTAGCAACAGCAACAAGTAGAATTCATAGTTATGTGAATGCTAATCTTAAATGACAATTTCCCGTAATTTGAGGTTTATTAATTTACTATAAAGATTTAATTCAGAAATATGTTAGTTTAGTTTAGATAATTTAAACCAGAATTCAATCTAATAATTACAATAAAATTACTACAATTTATTACAATTACAAAACTATTAATTTGTAAATATTTGTATAAATAGTTATTTTAAATCATAAATGTTATAAAATAAACTATATGATCTCCTCAAAGAAAGTAACTATTAGTGGTTTCCTGTAAGAAAAATTATTTTTTTTTAAGTTCAATTTATTTGTGATCCATCAAAAAGTTTTAATAAAAGTTGTTTTAAAAAGTTTTTATTACAGCAAATAGAATTGTTGTTATGATTTTAGAAAAAATTGATATCTTAAGTTTCAGAAAGAATTTTTCTCAAATAACTTGGATAATACTTTTGTGTAAAAAAGATTTGGTTCAGGTGTCACAGCTTAGGTCCAGGCTGTCCACAGTGAACATCATTCAAAAGTTTATAAATTTAATGAGTTATATAAAGTCAATAATTACTAATTTCCATTTTCCAAAGATCTTGACAGTAGTAAAGAAGTCATTTAAATCTAATTCGGAATTCCCCTGGCTTCTCCTTTAGGCAAAAAAATAACAGCAAATGTTTATAAAATGTTGAAAATCTTATTAATATTAAATATTAAAAAGTAGATTTTATTTTAAATATTTTCAAGATACAAAGTAAAAGTGATTAAAAAAATCTGGTTCATTTTAAAGGAAAACAGAAGTGCATGATGAAATCTGGTGATTGCGTCATTAAACATCCTGGTATGTATGCCACTGGAATGGCAATGGTGGTGAGTTTAAAAAAAATAACTTCATTTATCAAATTGTTATTGGCATTTAATATTGTTGTTATTTTTTTTTCAACTTTGTATATTTTTACAAATATTACCTATATTTTGTTTGGTTTTTTATATTTATGATGTAAATATTATTATTTATGAAGGGAGCTATATGTGATCATTGTGAAGCTTGGGTTTGTCATGGAAAAAAGTGTTTAACAACACATGCTTGTTTATGTCCACTTATTGATGCTTCTTGTTTAGAATGTCACCGTGGAGTCTGGAGTCAAGGTAACACCATTTGCATTAAACTCAGTTCAATTTTTCCTTTTAAATAAAAATGCTGTTTTTCCTAGAAACTTTTTAAATAAGTAGAAACTTTAACCATTGATTTTTTTTTTTTTTGATTTTTATCAGCTACTCTTTTTTAAATTTTTATTTTTTAAACAATTATAAAAAGACAGAAAATTTTTTTTATAAATTATTTTTTAGTTGAATAATTTTTTAAATTTGAAATTGTTGTCAATTATGATAATTATTGTCATAATCCTTAAGCCTTTAACTTGAAACAAAAACCTAGTAGAAGGCTGATGTGTAATGAAGCTGGTATGTAATGAAGAAAGCTGGTGTGTAATGAACAAGGCTGGTGTGTGAAGTTGTTGGTTTTAAAATTTTGCATATAGGCATAACCTCCAATACACCAAATATATTTTTCTGATTTCTGAGTTTATCTAAATTTTGTACAAGTTGCTTAGAAAAATTTTTGTAAATTATGGAGTGTATAGCAAGTTTTTTTTAGTAAATAAAATCTTGAAATTTTTAATAAGAATTCTGTAATAAAAGCATTGTTTAGGTCTTTTTTTTTTTTTTGTCTAGAAAGTTGTCATTTAACAACTCATTTTTAAAATGTTTTCAACAAAGTGTGGCATAAAGCATAATTTACCTAATGTTAAAAGTTTTAAATACATTAAAATATTCTTAGACTGTAGTAACCCTTTTAAACTTTAGGAGTTCAAACAATAAAAAAAAAATAAAAGTAATTTATTAATAAATACCTGTTGTTGTTTTTTTAAGTATTTATAAAAAAACAATTTTTCATTTTTAAAGCAATTTTAAGTTAAAAGTTAAAACCAGCATAACAATCTAACTATTATTAACTACTTCAAGATTAAAAAATGCATTAACCCTGGCTCTCATAACTTCAGTTATTTTTGCAAATCATATGTGATTAGAATTAGAAAAAAGGGCAAATAAAGCCAAGTGTCATGGCCCTGGTTGGTTTTAATTGATTACTTTCTATAATTTTTTTATTCCAAATAATTTTTTTAAATTTGTATTTAAAAAATTACATTAAGATTTACTTTTCTAAATGAAGGTGGTCGTTTCTTCAAATGCTCGTTTTGTATGAATTTCCTATGTGAAGATGACCAGTTTGAGCACCAGGCTAAATGCCAAATATTGGAGTCTGAAAGCTACAAATGTAAGAAATTATTTTTTGTTTTTCATTATTAATAAATATTTTGGTAATTAGTTAATAAGTTAATAATAATCTCTCATGTGTAATATATATGAGAAGAGGTGAACCAATGGTTATATTTGTATCCACATCCTAGCAGAAAAAGCTCAAAAGAAAAATGTTCACCAGAAATGAATTGCGTTTTTTAAATCCACTATGCCTTTTACAGTTATACCTAGATTTTAAAAGTATTCTATTATTTAAAGTTATTTGTAATGATTATGTTTAAAAAGATGGAAGAAGGTTAAGTAGGCCTAGACAAAAATCATTAAGTTTTATTATTCATAGTGTCAAATAAGAATTTAGGAAAATAATTTAGGAAAAATTTGAGCCTAGAAAAAAAAATCAGGGTTGTGAAATTTTATACAAAAATATTTTTTCATTAAAACAGTGTTAATTACTACCCATTTTTCTCATTTAACCCCAGAATTAATTTTATAAATGAAATTTAGAATCTTTCTTTAAATTTTGATTTTTTTTTAAATTAAAAAAAAAAGTTTTATAATTGTTAGACTTTATAGGTGTTAATAGTTACTTTGATACAAAAAAGATGACTTACATATATACATTTATAAAATATTTGATGTTTTTCTAATATTGTAGTTTTAACTAAGAACATATAAATTTTTATAAATTCTTCACAAGTTTTAACTTTGACCATATAAATTTTTATAAGTTCTTCACAAGTTTTAACTTGGAACATATAAATTTTTATAAGTTCTTCACAAGTTTTGCTTTGAACATATAAATTTTTATAAGTTCTTCACAAGTTTTAACTTGGAACATATGAATTTTTATAAGTTCTTCACAAGTTTTAACTTTAATTAAGTCATAGTTTAGTTAAAATATAAGGAAGTTTTAATGAGAGTTGAAAATAAATTTTATCGACTTGAATGATAGCTCTTTTCCATTTGTGGAAGATATTGAACTTATTTACTGAAAATAGAAAGAGGCCAGTATTTGATTTCTCTGAGGTAAAGAAACTACTTTCCAAAAATAGTTTTGCTATTATATTAATAACACATATACGAAAGTGTTATTAGGATGCAGATCAAGTGTGAAAAAAACACAACTTAATGATTCTTCTGGACCAATTAAAGGTTGTTAAAGATGTTTAAATGTTATTGAGTTAGGATTAGTGAACACCTGTTTTATCACAGAGAAAAAGAAAAAGAAATAACTAGTTAAAGAAATTTTTTTTATAGAGATGGCAAAGGTGCAGAACAATTTTTCAAAACACTTCAAAAAGTTTAAAATAAAAATAAATTGAATCAAGGTTGCAACTGCAAAGACTCTGCAACAAAGACAAAGATTTCTAAAGTTTTGTTTACTGATTTTTTGATTCTTGCAAATGAAAAAATTAAAGAATGAACATTGCCTATTTAACGCGAAAGGGGCTATAGCTTTATGTATTTTTTTTTGGTACTGATGTCTAACTAGCAAAGATGGTTCAAAATTGTAATTAATAAAGAGAACATTAAACACTTGAAGTGATTAGATTATTAGCTAGTAATTACAAAGATGCTGCAAATAATTTAGACTTTTTTGACTTGTAAAAATTTAATTATCAAAATTATCTAATTTAATTAGTCAAAATTATCTGCTGCATCCTATCATATTTGTGAACCAATAACTTATAGATTTATTCATTGATATAAAGATTAAAAGTAAAAATAAAGATTGCTTCCAAAGACCTACATCTTTCTCAATGGAAATGCCAACAGGCTTTTTAACTACCTTGATAAATATATAAAATCTAAGAATTTTTTTTGAAGCAGAGGAATGGAATGTAAATGGTTAATATCTTATCATGGTGGGTAATTTACTTAAAGTTGCATTCAAGCATATCATACTTTTCAAAATGTTATCAAAGGATTATAATAAGTCTAACTACAGGCTGGATTATTAGAAGAAACAAGTTTAATTTCTTATAAATTAGCTCAGTTTTGAAAAAATCACTTTAAGGGTGTGTCTATATGTATGGAATATATACATACACATAAATACATAACACATACGTACATACATACATACATACATACATACATACATACATACATACATACATTGCAAAATTATGCTGTAAAAACATTTTGATACCTGAAAAGTTTATAAAAAACATTTTAAACTCTTCCATGGTGTCATATATGCAGCCCTCGGGATTAGGGTCGGTATTGACTGCCGATCTTAAAGTGTTTATTGTCGGCAAAAAATTGCCGACCTCGTTGCTATGTTTTATGGTAACCTCTTTGTGTTAAATATTTTGCCGACCTGGTGCCTACCTCCAATAGTTTGAGATCGGCAATTTATTGCCGGCCTCATTTTTGCTATTTTCAAGGGTTTTATATGAGTTTTAAAGATTCTATTATAAAAAAATTGCCTCAACGCAAGTGTGGCACCGTGTGAAGTTTTTGTAAAAAAAAAAAAAAAAAAAAGCTGGTTCTATTGCTAATACTATAAATCTTTAGAGAGAGAGAGAAAACAATAAACAGATATAATGTTTTTTATTGTTTATATAGGTGGATCATGCAATAAACTTGGTCAGTATTCATGTTTAAGATGCAAGGTACTTATTAAGCATTTACTTCGAGAAAATGTGCTCAGACATGTATAAAAAATTTATATGCATATTCGTATACTAAAACATATATAAGCATCTAATGTGACATGCATGCACAAGAACTTCATGTAACTGATAATACATTTTGGGTATACGTTTGGGTAAGCAAGTTGTTTAGTGTGTATACTTCACTACAACTCATTGGTTTTATTTATTGTTTTTTTTTTTTTTTTGTTTTTTTTGCATTTAATTTACAGTAATAATCTTATAATTTTAGATTTGTTTCTGTGACGATCATGTTCGAAGAAAAGGTCACAAGTATGTTAGAGGGCAAGCTATCTCTTGCCCAAAATGTGGTTTTGAGACCAAGGAAACAAAAGATTTGTCAATGTCAAGTATAATATTTTTAATTTTTGTTAGATTTTAGCATTTTTGTTATTTAGTCTGTATTCTTTGTTAATAATAAATATATAAATAAATAAAATTATATTAAATGTGGGGCATCAAGCTTTGTGGATAAATATCAGTGGGGCATCAAGCTTTGTGGATAAGCCGACTGAAATTGTATTTATTTGTTTTAAAATCTTTATACAGGTAATGCCAATTCAGTAAACTAAGTTGTTTTATTATTGAGCCTTGAAAAATTAAAATATAAATTTAACAGGTCAAATGTATGCATAAAAAATAAAATATTATTAATGCATTGATTTAATGTAAAATAAAGATTAAAAATTAAAAGTAACCATTAGCTTTATTTTTGAATATTTGGTTCTTACTATATCGAAAAACGAATGGTAGACGATTATATATAAGAATTTCTTGGTAAAAAGAAGCTTTTTTCGTGGTTTTAAGCGTCAAACTTAAGGCACGTTCAGCGACGTTTTTTCGTGTTAGCTGTAAAGTAAATTGTCTTAAAATTGTTAGAAAATTAACAATAACAAGGTCTGTTCTTAAGATCTTAAAAATGCAAATAACAGCTTTTTTTTTTATACACTTTTTTAAAGCAACAAATTAATTTTAAACATTCGAACGTTTTTATTAACGTTTTATATTTTTGATTTACTCTATTATATAAATGGTTGATGCAGTTTAATTGGGTTGCAGTGAATTTTAAGTTGATCAAGCCACAGTAAGTAAAAGTTGTTAAGGTCATTGAGATAAGTTAATTTAGCAGCGTTAATTTTTAAGAAGATGGTGTGATTTAGTAAACTTATACGCCCGCTGATCTTATTACATTTAAAATTAAAATCGTCGTTAAGTGAAAGGGTTTCATCAAGATAGACTCCATGATTATTCTATTGGTTAGTATTATTTGAACTTTAATAGTATAAAAATTTAAGCACTGACATTTTGAATAATTTCCTTGCGGTCCCAAATAGAATTGCTTCAGTTTTATTTTTATTTTTTTATTTTATTTTATTTTTTTTTTTGTAAGATTTAGCAATAGACCATTTAATGATTACAATAATTGTTTTAAGTTATCTAATACTTATTCTTCAATGCATTACTTTATAATCGAGCTGTGTTTTGAGACGTCGTTTTAAGATGTCTGAAACATTAATATTCAATCAAAAGTAGCAAATGTATTGAAGTTTCAATAGAATTAAAACTTGTGGAACTCCTTTTTATAATATTTAAAATGAGTGATTTTAGCTCATAGCGTTTGCAAAAGTAAACAGTAAAAATCAATCAAAAGGATTTTAATCCAGTTCCATATTAATTTTCAATTATTTAAAAAACGAAATTTTATAAAAGTTTTACGCGCATTTTTATAATATTATTTACCCGCATAACCATGATAAATGATTTAAAAAAATAAATGCAAACAAAAACAAATATAAAAAATAATTGTAGATTTGTACTGGAAATCAAACTATGGTTATTAATTATATTCAGGTCTAATTATTACTAAGTACAAAAAGTGACAGATTTTTTTTTTTTTTTTTGCTTAGCACGAACAACAGACTATGGTCGTCACAAATACAATGAAGAAGACGAGGAACCTTACGAAGATGATTATTATTCATACGATTCTCGCTCAGCGGCAAGTAATTTTTCTGGATTTGGTGGAGTTTCATATAACAAAAACGAAGAAGAGTCAAACGATGATAGTGAAGAGGGTAGTAATGACGATGATGATGACGATGAAGATGACGACGATGATGATGATGATGATGAAGAAGAAGACGATGACGACGACGAAAATAACGAATGTGAAAACGAATTGACAGATAAAGTAGTAAACTTAAAAGTCGACGGAAACAAAAAGTTGTAAAAGAATCAAAAATTGTTAAACATTTATATTTTGTATTTTGCAAAAGTAAACGAAATAATAAACGGTCTCTAAAAACCACCTAGCTTTTTAGGAACCGCTTGCCATCTCGCGCGTTTTACAACAATAACTTACTGTTGGGTGTTGTAGACAAATTTTTAAAAGAAATTAAAAAAAATTTGTTTGAAAATAATAAATGTGGGTTACAGTTTGTTAACCAATATTTTACTACGATAAACATCTGCATAGTATTCTACCAAGGGCAGCATCTTTTGGAAGGTAATGCTTTTCAATTACTTAAAAACATAGACAGCTTTAAACTTTTTTCTGGAGTCCAGTCTTGGAGATTCCGCTTCTAAACACATCAAGGTTTTGAAATTAATTGAGATCAGATATAGATAGAAAAACAATGTTTTGGAAAATCATTAGACTCTACTTATGTCAAAGATATAGATCAGCTCCATACAAGCTATAGAAATCTAGGAGCTACGGTTCCTTTGAAATTACACATAACTGAGCAACATATTATCGATTTCATCAACATGAAAGGCGGGGTCTTCGGTATGATAAATAAATTTTAAGTTGAAAGTAGAAGGTTTTTATAATATTAATTAGTTGAATCGGTGAATGTTAAAAGGGCGATAGTCCAGCAATGTAAACTTTCGGGAAATTAAAAAAACAGCACTGCTTCCTCGCTAAAATTTTGTTAATGGTTTAACAATTTTTTTTTGAAGGGGATAATGTTTTTCATCTTAAATGAAAAAATATATTTTTTTTATATTTATTTTTAAAGAACCTATAAGACAATTAACACTGAGGACTTTAGTCATTTTAACATTCAACAAATAATTACTGCTTATTTTATTATGATTTTAATTTTGGGCTATAGAAAATAATGTCACAAACTGCAATAAATCTTCTCAAAGTGTATATTTATGAATTGTTTATACATTTTAACAAAAGTTATAAGGAAGAAAAGTCTAATACAGAAATTTTATCAGCTATGCCTAATCATTTTCCCCAGCATCTTCTGGTTCTCCATTGTTGCTTTCTTTTGTAGGCCATGGGTGTAGTTCATCATAAAAGTCAATATGCTCATGTGGAGTATACACTTTCTTAAGTCATTCAATTTAGCAGATGTTACTGGAACTTTTCTGTTTGGGTAAAGAAGCTATTCTGGCAGGTTCATTTTGTTTCGAGCATTTTTTCTCATCATAAAAGTATGTTTGACAATGCCATTGATAATTTCACTGGCTTTACATTGACCTATGTTGTTACAATCGTATTAAAAATGGTGAAATTTGCTTATTGCAAACTGAGTTTGTTGGTTTCTGGGTTTACCCATTGTTTTAATTGAGGTAACGTTTCTTTTATAGTGGACTGGCCACCAACTTTTAACATCGTAAACTAGAGACGATCTCTCTAAATCAACCACTAAAAACCTTTTTTGATTGATACTTTTTAATATAATTTTTTTTTATTTTTTGGACGCTGTAAACTCTGTCATACCTTCTTAACTCTCTTTTTATAATTGAAAAGTCACGGTCACACGGCAAAAAGCTGTGCCCTCTGATTGGGAAAAATTGATTGATCTTTTTAATCCACTTATTGTCAGTATGCGCCATAAAAAGTTTTGAAAAGCAATGGTTTTTATTTTGCCCCCCACAATTATCGGCATAAAATTGAGTTCATCATACTCTTGAGGACAGATAGACAGATAGTGCAAAAGAAAGGAGCAAGTTTCATATGGAGACTTTCTAGCCTGCCCTTCGTGATAAAGATAGAGTGTTGCAACGTTTCTCTTCACATCATGAATAGAAAATACGCTAACCGTTAGGCTAACCCTTACGCTAACCGTTACGCTAACTGGCTTAGGTAAAATAACTCTTGCACACGTATTTTAGGCATTGAAATGTTTTGTAAATAATCTACTGCTAGGGACAAAATATTAACATTTTTTTTTTCCCTAGCGTCCAGTACACTTCGCATGTGCAACAGGTGTCTACTTGATGTTGCCCGAAACGTAAATGAAAGTCTCATTGTAGTAGTTATAACAGGACTTGTAATTGAACTTTACCCTTCATTTTTTTTCATGAATAGTTCATACATTAACTTCACGTTTAAATCTTCACTCAAATACCTTTCCTTTCCGTCATAGTGGATCAGTTTTTTCGGAAAGGAGTCTATGTGAGCGTATACCTTAGCTAGTATATCGTGACTGGTAATGTAACTCGTATGCACTCCTCTCAAATCTTCAACTGCTTTTCCATCCATTTTTAAACCCCTTACTCTTCGATCCCTCTTTTCTGACACAGAAAGTATTGATAAAAATGCTACAAGACATACCTGTACTCGTTCACCTTCAATCAAAACATGATACTTAAATTCCTTTTTGCTTCCACCGTTACTTTTTCTTTTTCTTACAGTATCTTCATTAGCGTCACGACTTTTTTCCTTGCTATCTCTTGAACCAGGCCTGTTCCTCACAATATCCGTAACATCAATTAAGCCGTGTAAAAATAAATCCTGCACATCTTTTGTATTGAACTGGGTGTAGAAGTTTATAAATGCATGAATTTTTGCGAATAGATTTAATTCACTTTCTTGAACAACTGAAAAAAAATTTTACTTTATAAAAAAAATATATAAGTAGCCTAGTCTAGGAAACAAAATAGAGTTTAAGTTAAAATGCGATAAGTGATTGTAGACTACCCTAAAAATGTCATTATATTGTCTTAAGCCTACAAATATTTACAACCTAAACAAGCAATCAATAACTTAGGTCTATAGGCCAACTATAAACTGCAGAGCCTAAATCTGACCAAATTTTTGACAAATTATTACAATTTGGCATAGACATATTATTAAATTAAGAATTATTGCGTATTATCTCTTATCTGCATGGATCTCCGATAGACTTTACATCAACTTTTTGTCCTCTGTGGTTTTCATATGTCACACCAGTAAGCCTAGATTTCTTAATCTTGTTCCTTTTATAATCATCTGGGTTTCTTATCTTTTTTTTTATAATTTGTATGATCAGACTCACTACCGCTATCACTCATTTAAAAAAGCAGTTAATCAACTTAAATCACTATTAAAATAATCAAACGTAATAAATCAACTTTATTTACCATGCTGTTGCACAATCAAAATAACAAAGTAAGCATACGTTTGGTTCGCTGTCTTATTTTTTTTTTTTTTTTTTCAATTTATTTAATTTTGCCGTAGAAAGTTACAATTTATAAAATAACATAAATAATAAAACAAATGGCTGGAGCAAGAAGAAGATATCAGTTTGTCTTATCACCGAGCCCCATAGTGACTTCATTACGTTTTTTACAACAAAATATATAAAATCGTGATAAATTGTTTGTGATAAAATATGTAAAGATGTGAAAAACTACGTTTTACAATTGATATAACTGTTTATATATAAATTCGTTTAGTAAAATAAATTTAGAACAAGTAAAAGTTAAAACAAATAAAAGAAATAAATTGTGCTAGTTTATTTTTTTACTAAAAAAGAAAAAGAAAATTTAAGTCCATAGATAATAAAAAACGCTTTGATTCAGATTTTACTTACTCCGAAGACAATTCTACAGGCATGTTTTTGTTTACTGTAGAGTTTTTTAAGCTTAGTACAGTTTGTGCTTGCCCAGGCCATGTTACCATAGCTTAGATGACTATGTATTAATGAAAAGTATAAACTTCTTAAGGAAATGATATTTAGGAAAGGTTTTGCTTTATACATTAATGAAATATTTCTTGAGAGCTTTCTCTCTAAAGTGTTTATATGGAGCTTCCACGATAAATTTTCATCCAAGACCACACCTAGAAAGTCTATAAAATTTTCTCTTTTTATATTAGTATTATTTATTTTAAGATCAGGTAGTTTAAGAGGAATATTTTCGTTTTTATTTGGTTTATGAAATAGGATGAACTTGGTTTTTTTGACATTCAAAGACAGTTTGTTACACCTAAACCACTCGTTTATTTTATGTAATTCTTTGTTAACTATGTTAAAAAGTGTCCTAATGTCTCAATGCGAATAAAACAAATTGGAGTCATCCGCAAACAAGATTAAATTTAATAAGTTTGATGTTGAATATAAATCATTTATATAGAGTAAAAATAATAATGGTCCCAAGATCGAGCCTTGGGGAACCCCGCAAGTTATGGCGCTATTTGTTGTTTTTGTTGTTTCATGCTGAATATATTGCTTTCGGTTTGATAAATAGTCTTTAAACCAAAGTAAGTTATTATTTTTTACTCCATACACTTCGAGTTTTTTTAGAAGAATGTCGTGATTTACGGTATCAAAAGCTTTAGAAAGATCAATAAAAACTCCTAGCGTAAAGCAATCATTACTAAAAGCATTAGATATTTGATTAACTAGCTCAATTATAGCATGGTCGGTTGAGTGGTTTTTTTTAAATCCAAATTGTTTACCGTATAAAAAATTGTTTTCCGTCAAATAATTGTAAAGTCTATTATACATGACGCGTTCTAGTAATTTGGAAAAACATGGTAAAACTGATATAGGTCTATAATTATTAGTAACAAAATCATCTCCAGATTTAATAATAGGGTTGATTCGAGCAATTTTTAGTTTATTCGGACAATGCCTGATTTTAGCGAAAGATCGAAGATGTGGTGCAATGATGGTTCGATGATATCAAATACTGATTTTACGACAAAGCTACTGATATTATCAAAGCCCGCACTTTTTTGTTAAAAGAGCTGAAGTCCGGGCTAAATAAAGTCTCAAATTTAATGAGTATAATGTTTGCTGATGACACCAACTTATTTCTTTCCAATAATGATATTTACAAACTCTTTTCTAGTATAAACGATGAACTTAAAAACATATAAAAATGGTTTAAATGCAATAAGCTAACTCTTAACAGTAACAAAACAAAATGGATTTTCTTCCATCCAATCGCAAAAAAGCCTTATTTACCCCAAAATTTACCAGAAATCTTTATTGATAATACTGTGATAAAAAGACACTATGTCACAAAGTTTTTGGGTGTTTTTGTTGATGAAAACTTCACATGGAAAGCGCATATTGACTATAT